CAGATAATTTACTTTACTTGCAGTGATTTTTATTGATCTTTTTTCATCTCGAATTTATGCTACATACATTTAAATTCAAATACATATTTGTGTGAGTGTACCTTGTATTTGTATTAATCGCGCCGTAAAAGTGCAAACCCCGACAATGGGCTACATACACCATTGATTGCTACCCATTTTATTTGTTAATGTATATTTAATATGTATGTATGCATGTATGTATTTAGTGAGAGTGAGCACATTTACATAAAATATATATTTTTTTAATGTAGTACAATATAGATTTCTGTCCTATTTCCATACCACTGTCGTTAAATATAGGGTGGTATTATCACTTGCGAAGCGAATGATTTTGGCGAAGCGAATTAAAAGGCAGAGAAGGTATAAAAAGTGTTCCGAGATGCAAAGAACTTGCACAAGCTGGTAAAAGCGAACACTCTTAATGCATATTTAAGTTGCGTCCTTCAATCCATTCGCTTCGTCAAACCGTTCGCTTCGCCAAATTCATTCGCTTCACAAGTGATAATACCGCCCATAATCTATATTTGTTTAGAGTGTGTTTGTGAATTGATGGTGGTCATGTAATGATTGGATGGATGTGGCTACACTCTGTGAGCGCGCGAGTTTAAACGCACTATAAGCTACATTTTAAATATACATACATCAACTCTGGAGAATCATTTATTAGCGCGCCATTTCTTATCCACAATTTTCCCGATAATCGACAAATACCCTCCAAGATTGTAGGTGTATTAGCATATAACAGGAATTAACCGGATTTCGTAGTAGCGTGTTTTAACACATAACAAGAGTTCATTTGTTTTAATCACTTACAACAATGCTAGCCATGCCTGCGATCCATGAAAAAAAAACTTTAAATTTTTCATTTTAATCTACCTGCAATGAAACTTTCTTTACATTTGCATTTTTATCAACCATATTTTGTGGGATATCAGGGGTGTTTACGTCAACTATTCGACGTGCTATTGCAAAGGAAAACTTTCAAATAACAACTTCCAATACATCTGAAATTGCAAACCGTATGCTACAGCACCTAACTGCATCTATTTATATGCGCATGCGCATAGTTACGTCATTTTCAATTTTAATAGATGTGTTTGTGTGCTATGATTAACAAACGTGTAGCTTTACAGCTTTTCAATTTAATAGTAAATGTTTTAAAATATTTTAACTCTTAAAAATAAAACAATAATGGTAGTTGTAGAGTTGAAAAATTTAAGTTGTATTGATTTCTGGTATAAAATTCTTAGAATTTTACATTCCTTCCATCTCTATGGTCTCTTGCGCTGCTGCTGCTATCCGCTATGCTTTAAGCTGTATTCCTAAAACTCAGTTCCGCCTTAATTTACCACAGTTGATAATGTCGCCGTCAGCCATATATATTCGATGCCGTTTTGCTTTTCGCATATGTATGGGTGTATGTGTGCGCTTTAAAAAGGTTGTTCCCTTTCATTAATTTTTTACTCTGAATGAATTAATTCAGTATTATAGGCCAGTCAACTTACAAGTATGTGTACGAGTACTTAGTATGGTATCGACATTATAACTGTTGTATTAACCTGATGTTCTTTAATAGTTTTATAAATTTATACTCCTCTTAATTGGCTCACTCTCATCCTCTGCATAATTTTAAAATTACTTTTTTATTTAATCTATAAATTTAATGGTTTTTTTTTTCTTTTTGTATGTTTTTTTTTGCTTTTAATTAAGGATTCAGCATAAAAGACGTATTTATATTTCTAATTTTATTTCCTTTTTGTTTTAATGTTTGTAAATGCTTTCTTAATCGTATGCTTCGTGTCGGAAAGCATACCACCACCATTTTCGATCTGCCTTTACTTTCGCTCTTCCTTTTCGTGTAATTACATCCATTAACTTCACTATGATAAGCAATTCTTTCTTTCTTTAGAGCAGTACATTCTTATATTCATTTAAAGTTGTTTTCCTTCTTAAAAATCAATTTCATTTCATTTTTATAACATACAAATTCTTTCATTTCTTTTAATATTTTTTTTTTATTACTTTTGTTGCCTTTCGTTCGATTGGACTTAGTTGTTTCATATTTAATGAAACTAACTATACTATCATCATTGAATGTTTCTCCGTTGTATTATTAATGGTTTGCTTTTTCTTCTGTATGTACTTAATCATCATTACAAATATTAATCGTGTATTGCTGGCGCCCCTTTTTCGCTCAAATTGGTCCGAAAAATTTAATGTTGATGCTCAGCAATAAACATCTTAGCATGCATCCCGAGTTCTTGGAAGAAATATTTTGTAAAGTAAATTTTGATTTCGTTTGTCTGTTCTCATTGGGAGCGTAGGACGTCAGCAAAAAATTTTAAAATATTTCTTCCTTATTTTATTTTACTTTGCCATTGATGATGCTTATAAACCTTTTTAATGATGTTTTCATTTGTGTACTGTGTTTGATATATTTGATATTTGTTGATTTCTTGTGGCTTCTGGTGCTATTATTGTATTTATTAATGCCTTCTTGTTAGTTTCTCAGAATTGTAATCATTATTGGCCTGCAAAAAAAAGAAAGTTATGTACATTTTAGTTACATTTCTTTAATGAGATATAAAACTGGTCGCCTGCGATCAAATAAAGCTAAACAAAAAAATGGCGTTTCCACGACAGTCGGGTCTACGTAACCGGAACGACCCAGATTTATATCTGGCCAAGGACTGTTAGTCCAGTAACACTCCGCAAAAACTGTTTGGAGAACTTGTATGATGTTATAACAAAAACAACATTAAATGGCCGCATTATAATGGTTTTTTTGCATAGGTTCCTTTTACCACACTGAGGACTCGACACTGTCATTTGTTTTATTTTAATTGTTAAATTAAATGACACAACTTACCAACTCCACCAGTTGCTGTTGGCTGAGGTGTGTTGCTATTTTCCACAGTTGTCGATTTCGTGGCATTTGGCGTTGAAACAGTCGCTGAAAATGATGGCTGTGGTTGTGGCACCGAGTTTTTCAGTGCTGAAGCTGTGTTGGCACCATTGTTAATGTTATTAGATGCACCGGGATTACCGGTATTAGTATTAGAAGTGCCGCCATTCGCATTGCTAGATGCGGCATTTGCATTTCTGACACGGTTACGATAAAGGTTGCCACCACGATAATTCCGATTATAACCGCCACCATAAGAGCCCATATTACGATTGTAATAGTTGCCACGTCCACGATAGCTAAATGATACACAAAGAAGAAAAGGTAAGGTTAAGGAAGTTTATTTAAAGTTTATAATAAGCTTATTTTTTTTAAACTCCAGTTTCTTACCCGCCGCGTCTTGTCGATGAGACCCCAAATGTTTCACTATTCAATTTGCGTTCATGACGCCAGTCATTCTTCTTGTTCTTGCTACGATCCTGTGCTGCCTCGCATGAAATATTATCAAAGAAGGACTTTGTCTTATCGTATCCAACAGTGATTTCTTCCTCTTCCGGTTCATGCTCTCCGGCACCAGTCTCGTTGCCGGAATCGTCCTTTTTATCTGTTTCGCCATTCATCTGTGAAACAGAACTCGTGGTTTTATTTCAAAATTTTAACACGGAACAGACAAACAAAATCAACATTACTATCATAAAAAATATGGACATAAGAAGCAATAGCATAAATCAATGATTTGTATATCAAGATCACACAGATCTATTAGCATGAATTGAAAACACTCAGGGGCATACATACTTATATACATATGTATATCAATGAGAAAAAAAACTATATTATTAAAAATTCAAAATAAACTAATTTGTAAAAATAAAAATAAGCGAAATAAGCAAAATAAAAGGAATGAATACCTGCTCGGTTTTGGGTTCTTCGCCCACCTTGAGTTTGGACAGTTGGGAACGTAGCTCTTCGAATTTAACATTGGCCTGTTCAAAGTCGAAATCTTGTAAGAATTTAATTGTGTTCTTCGGATTCCGTGGTTTATTTTGATTACCACCGGGACCGCCCATTGGTCGATAGCCCTGAAAGCAAACGAACGAAATGTTTAAAAATAGCTTTCTAAAATGTTATAAAGTAATAAGCATTAAGCTCTTAAGCTACTGTTTTCTGAAGTTACAAACGAACACTTTCAAAACAGGCGAGGTATCAACTATGAATAAATTTTATACTCACTTGATTTTGCATGCGACCACGTCCGCCACCCCGATTGCGGACCATCATGTTGTTACCATTGTTAGGGTTGCCGCGGTGCATGGTCCAAGCATGGTTTTGACCGCCGCCACCGCCACCGCCACCACCCCCGCGTTGATGGTTATTACGTTGGTTGCCATAATTGTTGCCACCACTCATTTCATGATGCCGATAGCTATAGCCACCAGAATCGTGTCGAACACGGTACTTTTCATGGAAGTCACTGTTATTGTTGCGTTGATTATTGTTGCCACCGCGCTGTTGGTGATTTTGTCGCTTGTTGTCTGCATCGTGTGAGCTGCCACCATGTCCACTATTCTTATTCTGAGGAGCCGGTTTTTTCTTGGGATTAGCAAGCATATTGGGTACAGACGAATCACTTTTCAGCGAAACATGGCTCATTGGCGTCGTTGAGCGTGATGCGCCGGCAATCGTGTCTAAAAAAAAAGTTATTTATTAATTTTACATTTTACTATAAATCAAAATAAATATTATACAATTCCTGTGCTGTGAGATATAGAAAAATAAAAGTATAAAAAATCATCATTAAAAAGATGTATCTAAGTTAAAAACAATGTGCAAAGAATATCTCGATTGAAGCATACCACAGTGCAGGAAAGCAGCATGTTTGGGACTATATTCAACATCGCGTTTGATGAACTACAAGCTATTTTCAAAAATGTAACTAAACGAGCTGTGTCGTACTAATAATGACTAGTTAAATCACAAGTTTAAAGACTTGTTCACTACTACTCTTCTTTCAAGTTTCTTTCATCATCTGAATTTTCAGAGTATAGCATAAGAAAAAGGAATATTTCAGGTACTTATGTATGTATGTATTTCAAATAATAGTGAGTCTTAAACTCCATGAAAGTTGAATATGTATAAAGACTTGTACCAATACAAAGCTTTTTATTCAACAAACAGACGTCGTATTTGGAGCTTGCCAAATGATTCCAAAGACCGCATACTTTAAATCAAGGAGACTTTGTTATGACAGTTTGAAAACAAATGGAAAATAGAAGTTTTTTCTAGACCTCCGGTTTTTGCTAATATGAAAAATTACATTCTTCAGTAAAATCTTCGACAAGTAAATTCCAAACTATATAGCGATATTTGATATTTCAATTTCAAAATATACAATGCTATGTGATGAGTGGAATTAATAGCACAAAATTGTGGAAAATTAAAATAAAAAGGATCAAACTAAACCAAAAACAACCGAAAAAAAATCGCACAAATCACATGTTCTCCAAAACAGGAGCGGCGTTACCATCACACCTTGATCTTTGGGTTCGTTAAGTGCCGTTTGAGGTAATATTTTCTTCGCTTTGTTAGCTGCACCTAAAATTGTACTGTTGCTTCCAGCAGAAGTACCTCCACCACTACCAAGTAAACCGCCAATCAGGCCGATACCGCCGCTAGCCATGCGACTACCACCGATGATGCCGCTATTACCATTACTACCAATCATACTAGCAACACTACCAATCGCTCCTAGATTTAAAGTATTCGACGTTGGCGTTATATTTAAGTGGACTGAAGTATTAGAATCATTATGCTGCTGCTGTTGCAACTGGGTTTGATTCGACGGTATAGTGGATGCAATTGTTTTATTATGCACTGATTGTTGCTGCTGTTGTGGTGGTTCCTGCATTTGATCTTGTTGCTGAAGATGGGTCAGATTGCTGTTGTTGCTGTTGCTGGGAAGTAACTCACTTGGTTGTTTCTGTTGCTGCTGGGATTTCGATTGTTGCTGTTGTTGCTGCTGTGGTGGCTGGGGCGGTTGCTGCGGTGGTTGTTGTTGCTGCTGGTTACCTCCACCCAGCATGTATGGCCCAGGTGCGCCAGTGCCAGGAGCTAGCGAAGGTGCTCCACCGCCAGCTCCACCAATGCCCAGTGCGCCAATACCGAAAGGATTACCATAACCTCCAACTGCACTCATCGGTGGTGCATGCGGTGGGTTCATATTGGGCATGGGAAAATGTGGCATCATATGCTGACCATTTTGTAGCTGTACTTGCATTATAGCCGGGTCATTGGGATGGGGAAGGCTGTTGTTAACGACTCTAATGTCTTTGATATCAGAACCGCGGAAAAGAATGTAGTCATAGATTTGGCTTTGTGGTGCAATCTGAAACTGAGTCTCCCGGTCTTCGGTTCCAAAAGAGCGAACTGCAATAAAAGAAGAAAGTATTTTTTTTTATGAGCATAAAGAAGATGAAAATTATTTAATATTAATTTGGACATGGGAATTCGTTCGAATGAATTCGAATGACATTAAAATTACCTACACTTTCATATTCATTTGGTAATAGGTATATCTTTATAGATTACTTGTACCACAAATCGAAATTCCTTGTTGGAAATTTTTCAGATTAGGAAAAAAAATCTATTTTATAGGCGGAACAGATTAAACAGTGCTCTACGAAAGTGCAGTCAGTCAATCAATCTTTATTGCCTGATCAGTTGATTATATTTTACTGGCCAAATGAGAAAATATAGACTAGTTTGGTAGATTATGCGGTGCCAAAATAAGTATTGCTGACTATTCGTTCTATACACATAATAAACCGTATAAACTTTACGCATGGTTTTGTTACAACGATTTTGTTATTTGTTCGCATAAATCGTTCAACACATTGGAGCAAAGTTGTCAATTACTTGGAAAAGTTCATGTCAAAAAAGTAAATTCGGATATTTTCTGCGCTTTTCTGTATACTCAGATTAATCGCTATACATAATACAAATTGCGATACTACTAGCCATGGCTACTAGACCAGCAACTAGACCCCAGTCACCATACATAATAGGGTCATAAACCTTATGGAAGGTGGCGAACGGGGTCTACTTTCCGTAAAAACCTGCAATTCGTGAAGCATCTGGAACACAACTTTTATAAATTAACTGAAAATTTGTATGGAAACTCGTTTACACATTTCTGATAAATTTCTGCAGCGATTTAACTGAGGAAACATGATAAACTGAAGCCAACGCCACTCTGTCACTGCTCTAGCTGTGTTTTCTTGGGAAATAATCGGGATTCGCATAAAAGTTTTGCACGCAAATACAACAACGATATGATCCTGATAGAGATCTGGTCAAATTTATGATCTGTTCTGTTTGTTTAGTTTCACTGATAACTTGGCTGCACAGTAGTATGGTGGCACTGACGAATGAATTCATACACAAAGTTTCTTTTTAACTTACTTCAAATAAATCGCCTTTAAGTTAAATATTTATTTTAATGGGCATTATCTCATTTCTTAATCATACTGCTAGTAGTATAAAATTAGTGATACTGAGCTCGATAACCAAAGAAAACACGGTTTTTGTTGCAAGTGTGAACGAAGAGGGTATGGGGCTTTTATGTAGCATAATGCTTAAATTTATAAGAATATCTGCTTGATAGTTATCGGTTTAGATGAATACCACTAATAATAAATATTGAGACAGTAAAACAAATAAAACATTAAAAAATTATATACGAAATTCCATCTTCGATCATTATACACATGTTTGTATAAACAACGGCGGCAATTATCAACGTGGGCTTTCAACCCCCAAAATTGGTCAAAATATTGGAAAGGGGGTACACCATTAGACGCGTCTGGACCCCAATAACAAGAATCCGAAAGCGGAAATTAACTTTTTTTACCCGATCAAAAGTTATTAACAAACAATTTTGGGGGTTGAAAGCCCAACTAGATAATTACAATGAATCAAATATTCAAAACCATTATACATTTTTGGCATAGATTTAGACAGCGCAATTTTTAATAAAAATTTATTATGTTTTGAACGGCGCTTTTGCAATTTTATAGGGAATTTACATGATTCAACTTTCACAGGCGATTAGTTGAACCAAAAGTTGAACGAAAGTAGGCAGCAGACCAACTTCATTGGAAGCGATTAGTTGAAAGGCCGTTTACACCAGGCGATTGTTGCTTCAACTAAAAATCGCCTGAAAAATCGCATCATGTAAATTCCCTATTAGACAGCACCTCTTTAACGGCAGCCTCTATTCCGTTAACCCTGCTTCATATAACGGCTCTGCCACGCGACCACCGCGAATAGTTTTTCCTTGTATATAGTTCCAAAAACAAAAAGATAAAAAAAACATAACAATCGTTTATAAAATATATGTACATAGGTATGTACATACATATCCATGTATAAAAAAGTGCGATATAAGGGTGAAACGTTGCCAACATGACATGACAATTCCGAACCGAATAGCTAAGCAAAGCAGAAACATCAGCAAAAAAATGAACTTTTAATAATGCGAAAATACCAACAAAGTGCAATGGTCAAAGATAACTTTAAAGAAATTAAAGAACGATGAGAAATGAAACAGCAGAAATGAAGGAAACCATTTTCTTTTTTTTT